GTTGTTGCGCAACAACAGCAGTGAATAAATGATCGATTGGATTTTTCTACTTTTTCAAAGACAGATTTTGCTCTATATACATATTACAATATACACATTCATTTACAGGCTTTTTTCACATATTTACCAGGACGAAAAGTAAATGTGCAAGGTGTTGTTTGCACTTAAAATTAATTAACTCTTGATGCATGACTTATGATCCTTTATGTTAGGATTTTTTTCAAAAGTGTTTTTATTTTCTTATTTGATTTCACAATATTTTTTAATCAGCAGAAGTCCTGTACTGTAGACCAGTGTTTCCCAACCCTGGTCCTCAAGGCCCTGGTCCCCCGCCTGCATGTTTTAGATATGCCCTTGCTTCAACACACCCCATTCAGATGATTGCAATTCAGCAAGACCCTGTTAATTAGCCATCAATTGAAATTATGTGTGCTGAAGCAGGGGAACATCTGAAACATGCAAGTCAGTGTGCCTTTAGGACCAGGATTGGGAAGCACTGCTTTAGACAGAGGGACTGGATATCCCTGAGTTGGTCTGCATGCTTTTTTGCCTGTTTTGGATTTAAAAAATTTTTTCTTGCACTTGCAGTGGATGGCCAGTAGTTGATAGTGTATTGTATGATGCACTAGTGTCCACTTCAGTGTTCTGTGTGCATTTCCTGCAACACATTTAAAACATATGTCACGCCTGCTTGAGGATGTTACTCAGATTTATGGGTGTACCCAAAATGTAAAAAAAAAAAAGAAAAAGCAATAAAATCCACATTTTACTGAAAGAATCATCACAATTTGTTGGTTTTATTCTGTGATTTGGTGTCATGAGGTGCGGTGAAAGGAACAAAGGAACATGCTCAACTCAATCTGATGAAACATTTACCCATAAACTGAGATTAGGGTTAAAGAGACAAAAACGTTTTATGGATTAATGACTGGTGCTGATGACTTTCAGAACATGACTGTCAGTAAAGATGCCGCAGAAGGAAAACGAGAACCCTTTAATACCAACAACAGTAATGCAGCGTGAACTTACTGTTTACGTGACCCAAAACTACATAATCCATGGCAGCAAAGGGGGAAATAAACAAAACAAAAACAGTCAGCGGTTTGGGAATAATCTCCGCCTGTCATAAGTAATCTCTCGACACGAAAGGCTTGAGGCACACACACAAGAACAACAATCAAGAGAGATTGTCTGACAGTGATCCCACAATGCATTAGCCTTTTTAGATAACCTGTTAGAACTGTTCTTTTTCCTCAAGGCTTCATGACTGGAGGAGGAAATATTTGAATAATTTACAAGGACGTGTTTGAGATGCGTTTCCAAGGGAACAGGGAGAGACAGGCAGATCCGACACAGAATGAAGCAAAAACCTGATTCAAACATGATAATGTCTGTGAATGTGTTCGGTCCGCATGATGCATGACAGTCATAACAGATCTCTGTTGGGTGATTTATTACTAAATACTTCTTTATTTAACCCATCCGAGGTTAAATTCTGTATGGAAAGCAAAATCAGTCCCAAAGCATTTCTTTATCCTCTTCATATGTGATTCTGACTAGTTAAAAAAAAAATTTTCTTCATTTCCCATCATCTATTGCACTCATAATGAGTTAGGCTGAGCTGGCAGAGTTTCTATAATGTTTTCTATCACAATGTCACCACTGTGGTGCTCAGGTGACCATAAAGGATGTTATTCACGCTCGGAATTTACAATCCAGGCATTGCATTAGAAAAGAAAAGAATAAAGAAAAGGAGAGGGACGATGAGTAATGCAAGTTGATAGTTTGACAACTTTTCAAATGAAAAGTCTGTTTTTTTCTGTTGGAAATGAAATGAAAAGCTGCTTTTTTGGTTGAAATCATACATAATTTGACTCAAAGTCAGCCTACACTTGTTGAACCTACAGTTTGAGCAGAGTCATTTGGGTTTAAAAACTGCAACAGCATTTATTTGTACACTGAAAAAAAATAAAATAATGGAGCTCCAACTTAAAAACAATTGTTAATTTGTCACATATAATCGAATTAAGTTTGTCAAACGTACTTTTTTAAAATTTGTCATGCTAAAATTTGTTTAGCATGACAACTTAATAAATTTACTTGGATAAACCTAATTAATGTATAACAACAACTCTGCTATAAACTTATCCAGTATATAGCTGAGTAATTTCCAGTAATTTAGAGCTGAATAACACATAGGCGGACTATTTTTACATATACACACACATTATATATAAATAAGAATATAATGTTAAAACCGCAGGGTGAGTTAAGTTTAGTCTGCATTAGTTGTGCAGCGCACTGCACATGCTAATTAACTTCTGCACCTTTATTCATTTTCTCAAGATAAACTGCCGGCTCCTCTGTTTAGACTATAAATGGATTAACATAACATTGCATTCTCTTTAGTTTTCTCTGGTTTGTATGTACTGGAGACATGAATTAAATGCATCATTTCTAGCAAAGGTTTGTAATGCGCTTCTGAACAAGAGGCGCCAAAGCGTCCGGTCCATAACTCTTCAACACGCTGTCAGCTCTCGGTTAGAAAGACACATTTAGTTCAGAGACCATGAGATGATATTCAAAAAGGATTTTTTTTATTAATTGATTTTAATTGCCTCTGCCATTAACTCTTTGCGTAAAATCTATAATGTTTACCCATGTGCACTTGTCAAGGGTGTGAATTATAACCATTCAAATGACCAACGGGCTTCAAATTTTTCTGTCGTTTAAAAACAAAGCCGATCAAAAAAATGGAAAATATCCTGTTAAGCGACCCCTCATATTAATATATAACCTAAAATGACAGGGATGCCTTTTATGACATTAACCATCACAAACTAAGCCATATTTTTCTGTCTGATCTGAACTCACCCTCAAGAGGAATATCGATGGCTGTGGTTGTGTGAAAGGCACGGAGGCAAGTGACCACCAGCAGCGTCAGCCTGCCAGCCAATCCAGAGCTTCGTTGTGACCTCATGGTTTCACTGCAGGCTTCAGAACTTCACCGACCAACCAGCGCTCTCCTCTGTGAGCTCAGTTCATTTCTGGGACGGGCTGAAGATGCCGTACCTGTGAAGGCAACACAGATGGAGAAGCCCCCATGAATCTGACCCACGCTCCGGCAAACCCCACACATAACGAATCCCCCGCCTCCCTGATCGGGAACACAACTGCTCTCTCCTCAGCGTCACACGTTTTCGTTTTCCACCCAGACACACGTCCACACTGTGAACTCAATCAAGTTCTGCTTTTCTATAAAAATGCCTTTCCCCCCCCATTAGATATTTTGTTGTCTGCTGAGGTAAGCTTCATAGAGTACTTTTCTAATGCAAGAATAAAAAGAAATAAAAATTAAAACACCAGGAGCTTGTGGGTTTATTAATAATACATGGCAGATGTTCAGCCTCGCTGCGAAGAGAGGAAAAACTGAAGCCACATTAACATCAAAGCTTGGCTGATTTAATCGTTGAGTTGTTTTCATCTGAAGATGGAGTTTTTGGATAATGATGACTGAATGACTTCAAGAATGCGGCCACAATTTTATCTATTACTGCAGATTCTGCAGGCTTGCCTCAGGGGAGACATAAAAAGCAAAGTGAAGTTTGGAGTCAGACAGAGGGAGAACACAGCAGCGCTTCATTCAGCAGCTAACAGAGCAGAAGTGTGAGAGGTCCAGGCTGCTGAACCAGAGGAGGACAGGAAGGTAGCTATGGGAACGCTGGGGATGATGATCTCTCTGGGAAACCTCTGGAGTGTCCCTTCATTACTCTTCCTTATATTAGCTCTGACCTGGCTTAGCGGGTTACAGTGGAGTAATTAGCACAATAGCTAGCTTATCCTAAAAACAGGATAGAGTGATTATAGGGGAACAGAGAAACATGATGTCATGAAGATGTTGGAATTCCATTAGAAGGGCTTCGGGCTGCAATTAAAATGGCAAAAGTTCAAAAATTACACTTATTGCAGCTGAGATAGGGAGTCCAATTAGAGTTTAGATTTATGGCCTGAGCCTGACCTGAAATTTAGGTGAGAGTTCTTTGAAGACAGGATTGGCTCAATCTTCTGTGACACATTTAATAAGCCTGAAGTACATACAGTATAAGCTGGATGGTACGGATGGACATTTCCTATCAGTTGATGTTGATAATTATTGATTGAACCTGCTGCTGCACAAGTTACTCAAGTTATTGCTAGGTAACCATACATTACTCAACAGGTTGTTGCTAGATACCCACAAGTTACTCTATAGGTTGTTGCTAGGTAACCAAAGAGTGAGTGAGCTAGTTGATGTCACTCCCTTTACTTAGCTGGCTGTGAGAGGTTGAGCAGCTAAAGCCTTTTCTCTGTCTACATCCACTAGAATGCTGTGCGGTTCTGAATCAGAGTTCAGTTAAATTATTAAATTTTAAATATATCACAATACTGTTATTGGTTTATTGTCCAGCCTACATACAGCACAGAGAAAACCAAAGAAGAATGTACGATACAGTTGTGTTAATCTATTTATTATAGTGTAACTAGAGGAGTAGATAGTTTAACTTGTTGAGGGAATAAAGTAACTAAGTAGAAGTTAATCAGACTGTAACAAGTGCACTGCATCACACATCCCAGAAAATTTGCACATGACTCACCCTGCGGTTACAACAAATGACTAAAAGGAGTTGGAAGAGGTTAACCAAAAGCTAAAAATTTTAATTTAATCATAATTAAAATAATATTAGGTTTACTTTGGCCTCGGGACTATGATTAAAGGTAATTAGCCAGGTCAGATCAGGCTCAGACATAATGCCTACTGGTTCGGTTTGGGTTGGACTTTTTAGGGCCACTCTAAACTTTAAATCAGTATAATCTCAAAGAAGGTGTGCATGAGTGCTATGATGAATCACTTATGTGGAGATATTCAACTAAGAGACATTAGGAGACTGGAATCTTCTTGATGCTCTGGTCTAATCTTGCCTCTGCCTCAGTAGAATCAATAGGCAGCGCTGAGGTCAACCTCCTGGTCAAGAGCTGGAATTGAATAACCGACTGCTGAACAGCACACTTCATTTGGCTCCTTTGAGCCTCTTTTTATATGAACATGCACTCTGAACTTCTCATCCACACTAAATAGTATTAACCGTGACCCAACAAGAGCCTTCCTAAGCTAACAGGGACCTGTAGCTACCAGCCTACAACAGTGTTCAGGTTTCAATTCAATACTTTATTCCCCCCAGGGTGAAGCTAAATGTTGTAACTCATTTTCCACAATTTTCATAGAGTTGTTGTAGGTGCTGATGGCTACAGCGATTCTGAATAGGCCTTTGACCAAAGTGTTCATCATACACACTGGAGTAGTCTTGGAAACATGTTCTTAGTAGGGGTGGTGGGTAAGAACATAAGATTTTTCACATTATTTTATGATAATATTATGACAAAAGTTAAGGTATGAAAATGTTTATTGCTTCTTTGCCATCTTTTTTACATAACAATATGGCTGTGACTGCATGGCACAACACAAATAACGCTCTTGAAAAACTTTCCATTTGGAATATAATTCTTCAGGACAACAATTACATGAAAAAGTGATTTTTATCACTAACCCAAACAGTAAATGCAAAAACCTGTGGAAAAAATAGTAAAAGTAACAATTATGTCAGTACTGCCAGGTTTTGGAGTTTTCAAACATCAATTGGAATTTATCGTTGTTACAAAAATTTTCCCCAATTTCTAATGATGATTCATGATGTCAATAAAGGATTCATGATATCAATAAATTATATATAAATACTAATTGCTGATTCCTTGCCCCTTGACCTTTTTTTCTATTTATTTAATAGGGATTGTAAGTGTTATACTGGAAAAAAGTAGTGCAAAGTTGTAAAGTGTGTAAAGTGTGCAAACTTTCCAGGTGTGTAAAGTTTGCACACCTGGAGCCTCATCCACATGGAGACGTCAATCTTTGCAAACTAGGAAAAAAATTTTCATCCACCACAGAAAATGCTGTAGCAGGTATGCTGGGCCAATTGGTGGCACTGTGAGATTGCTGCAGAATGACACAAAAAACACCAAACA